ATATATATATATATATATATATATATATGTATATATGTATATATGTATATATATATACCAAGAAACAGTAAGCATTTTGTCGATTTAACAACAATTTATTCTAACCAAATATTTAAGCAGACAAATAAGGAAGATAGTGCAAATATGAATCAGACTCTAGTACCTCAGTGTCACTATACACAGGATGATGATGATTTCATATCAGCGTAAGTAATAATAATATTAATTAATACTTTTTTTGTTATTTCCTCAGCATATTTTCGTTCGATTTGTGTGTGTGTGTGTGTTTGGGTGTACGTGCGTGTTTGTATCTTTGTAGCCTGGTTGTGACGTTCGCTTTCTAAAGCCGGGAACTCACTGCGTCGTACGACGAATCCAACTCCGATTCGTCGTGCGACGGTCGTACGACCGTCGTACGACGAATCCAACTCCGCTCCCTGTGAGCCCTAGACAAGGGATCGTCATTAAAAACGATCCGTTGCGTACTTCATAGAATCGCATCGGCTGACGACTGTCGTTCTCATTGAGTAGGCCTACCCGGCTTAAGGCCTGTTTATACTTCAACGATAACGATAACGATAAAAAGCTAAAAAGCGATTGTTCATATAGAAAATGAAAGAAATAAGAGAATTTTTTACACTAGAACGATTCGATAACGATTTATTGTGTCAACGATAACAAAATATTTTAACAAATCAAATCAGATGACGTCATAATTATCGTTATCGTTATCGTTGACGTATAAACAGGCCTTTAAGCAACGGCTCCGGGGTTTGAATCCCGGAGGTTGAGATTCTGTTTTCATTATTTTTATTATGAAATGTGTAGGCTGCCTTCAAATTTTTACAAAAACGTAATTCAATAATGACATACTGATTATTTTGTATATTTTCGGTATATATTTCAGAAGCTCAGAGTTTCTTTCCTATTCTTAAATCTCCCTACTGTATGTCAATATATGTGTGCAGCATCTATAGGAAATAATTTGGAAAAAAGATTCTTATACTGTAGGCCTATGTTCTAATACTTTATTCTCTCTCCACCCAAGAGTACTGGGTACCTGGTAGCCCAAACACGCGCTGTTTTACAGCTGCAACATTATGGAATTCTCCTTAGGGAGCTGAGTATTTGTTCCTGATGTGTTTGTTCCAATGATTGAGGGAATAATGCGAAGCACTTAGAGGCCTTGTTGGCATTAAGCGCTATTCTTAGTCTAACATATTATTATTATTATTGTTATTATTATTATTATTATTATTATTATTATTATTATTATTATTATTATTAACGTATTATACCATTCAAAAACTGTTTACTGTTGCATTTTAAAGCGAGTGGTCGACAAAGGGCTGTAAAACGATATATGACGATTACTTCAAAAGCGGCGTGACGTGTATATGCACTCACTTGACATCATTTGTCATTTTGATGAAACCAGAACAGGTAAGAATAATTACTTAAAACAATTAAATAAAAATCACATTCAGGTATCACAGAGCATGCGATTACGTGAGGACTGTAAGGTATGGAACGTAATGACGTAACGTACATTTCACTGTGCATGCGAGGAAGTTCAGTTCTCCTCGCTTGAATTCTATGACGTAGTGTGGCCCGAAATCTACGTAGTGCAGAGAACGCAAGATAAGACGGTCACGCGCAATTGAAAGCTCTCTATTGACAGATAGTTTGCGGCTACTAATTGTTCACCTAAGTTGTTTAAGCATGATTTTAATATTTTATAGATAAATGAGAACAAGATTTTGACCCAGCTTACTAACGTTGGAGTTGCAATTTCCAGTGCTTCTCTAATCATATCTCTCGGAATCATGTGCGGTTTCAAGTAAGTTGGAATGAATTAAAGGTATGAATAATTTTTTTTCAATGTTAATAAATTCAAATCTACATACGTTTGTATCTCTCCACTCAGCAGTATAATTTGGTACCTGGTTGAAAATACTGGGGAGATATAAAGGTGACGTAGAAAGAAACTGGTTACCCTACCACACAATGCCGAGGCTTAGTACGATGGGTTCTTAACAGCTCACTAACCTATTCTTATCTGAGATATATTATGAAAAAACATCAAGAAGATGCAGGGAAACCGAATTGGACTTTCTACAATGCTTACCCCGCATTAAAATAAACACATTAAATAGTAAATGTGAAATATTTTTCTGGCTGGACTGGTCTTCATTAATATTAATCAAATGTAATAAAAATGAAGACCAGTCCAGCCAGAAAAATATTTCACATTTACTATTTAATGTGTTTATTTTAATGCGGGGTAAGCATTGTAGAAAGTCCAATTCGGTTTCCCTGCATCTTCTTGATGTTTTTTCATAATATTCCGACAAAGAGAGTCTTTTTTGTAAAACAAAAATCAGGTTGCCAAAAAACGATGATTCAAAATAAAAATGCTAGACAGTGGGTAAATACAATAGTAAGCCTTACTTTCGAAAACATTTATTTTTATATTTATAAAGGTTCCTCTGGAATTAAGATCCTTGGTTCCTCTGTTTATGTTATTTGTTATTGTATTTGAATGTTATCGAATTGTTTTTCATGTGGGGCGCTTATTCGGCTTGTTACAAATTTTCAATTTTATTATTATTTTTAAAAGAAATTAAAATTTAAAAAAGAATTTAAAATAAAATGATTTAATATAGTTGTACTCATGCTTGTTATCGATATAATTGATTTACTTTGAGGCTAATGAAAATTAAATTTTAATAATTTATAGCCTTGTAAGTTGAAGCAACAATTAATCATATTTATTGTCCTATTTCAAAATCGAAATAGATTTTCTTAAAAATAATGATTTTTAAATTTTATCTTGATATAAAAAACAATTTGATAGCATACCGAGCTAACGCTTCATATGATACATTACTAACAAATAACGAACATGCAGTATAGTACTTTTTTCAATAGATGGAGTACGATAGACAACTGGTTTAGTTTGTATCGTTTCGTGCAAGAAATAAATCTAAAATTTTTGGAAGTGTGCCGTCATAATTGAAATGGTAGTGTGGAAGAGTACAGTTTTATTTTATTTTTCTGCTGCATATTATTTTATGTGCAAAGCGGCCGGTAAGTTATAGTTCCACGTATTACCTCTTTCAAGGAGGTTATGTATTCACTGCAGTCTGTCGTGCTAGCTGTCAGCAAGATTAAGCAAAAACTAATAAATATAAATTTTAGTTGAATGGTACATAATAATCAAAGAATAAACTATATTCAAATATTTATTACCTACTTCTCTTTTTATATATCTTACTATGTATTTTGTTGTTTTGATCTTGTGTTTTCTTTTTGAAGTTGAATAGCTTGGTGGGTAACTTTGCTGGCCTTCAAGAGTCCTGGGTTCAAATCCTGTCAGATTTTTTCTTATGACAAAACTCCACTCCTGAAGTTTTAATACGAGATTTATTTTATGTATATGTTTGTCATGGGATTGCCACCTATCTAATAGGACAATGATTAAGTCGCTATTGGTAATTCTTGGCCATGTGCCTAAAGGAATGAAATAAAAAATAATTGAATGTTTGTTTATTGCCTTTGAGATCCCTCGATAGTGTTCTATACTTTTTGTTGTATTTTTCTTTATCCTCAAATATTTATTATCGAGCATAAAATAAAATAATGTATTTTCATTAGTTGATGATGATGATATGATATGATATGATATGATGATGATGATATGATATGATATGATGATGATGATGATATGATATGATATGATATGATATGATGATGATGATGATGATGGTGATATGATATGATAGGATGATGATGATGATGATGATGAGTGTTGTTCACAATATGTGATAAATTACCTTTCAGTAAATATACAAGAAGCGTCCAGGACTACATTTTTTCTTCACAGATCGCATGCTGTTTTATTGCCGCTTGTTTGCATTACAGTCTCTTGGCAGCTTTCTCGTGGATGGTGATTATATCGACAGATGTGTACATGAAGATTAATCATCCGTTTGCTGATCATATAAAGCGCTTCACTTACAGTCGGTTCATTGGTTGGTTTGGACCTGTCATTGTCGTTGGGCCGACAGCTGGTATAGCAAGAGGGAACTATGTATCTGATGAGTAATTCGAGTTTTTACTTTGAACACCTTATTAATCATGTTTTTCTTATGTTACGATCTGAGCACTGTTATTATTTATCCAATCAAATCCAATCTGGGCATTTATAAAGCGCCTTTTTTAAAGATATGAAACGCTGCAAACAGATAGGAATTATGATCAAATAATTATATATAGGCCTATATATATATTATATATATGCCTATATATATATATATAAACATTAGTACATAATATTCATTGCCCATTACGTAAGAATTGAGAAAAGACGAGTCTTAATTTATTTATTTATTTATTTTTATTTTATTTATAAACAAAGCAACAGAGAAAAACAATCGCAAATTGTAGAAAAACATGAAACATTACATACGGGTTACAAGATAAAAGGAAAAAAGGAAAATAATTGAAAAATCCAAGATGATACAAGGATATATACACCACTAGGTCTCATAGTTCAGTTGGTATATATCCAGAGGTTAATCGAAAGGGTTAAAATCCCGATGGAGGAAAAATTTATTACCGTCTATATATATCTACATTATATATTTATTATATAAATTTAGTCAGATAAACTGGTGGTAGTAATTGTGGGTGTGCTTAGTCATTGCAGTTTTTGGGTACCTTGATTAATTTTAACGCTGCTCTCCTTGCTGGCAGCAAAGAGAAAAAGTGTTTTTTAAACATTTGGAATTTGGCGCTCATATTTGTGCACTTAAGAACTTTGTACACGTGTACAACATGGCATCATTTCTACCTATGAATCTTAAGCTATGAGGGAAATTGTGACTGAAAATGTAAATATTTCTACTGTCTTAATCTTATCAATTCTAGGTGTTGGTTGAATGCTAAATCTGGTTCCATCTGGACTTTCATTTTTCCCGTGTACATCTCCAATTTGGTAAAGCCTCTCTTTTACACTTAATTGCACGAAAATGTATTACAATACATAACAATGGCAAAGTGCTAAAAATTAGTAATTATCAGTATTTTTAAGCTTGGTTTCCATACAATCACTACACGCTATCGCCGACAGCTTTCAGTGATGAAGATTGGTCGGTGGAATCGGGGAGCCTTCCTGATTGATGCGCCGGCCGGGCAAATGCTACGCAATACAACCATTGCACTGAAAACACTGTAGCGACATTGTAGCGATTTTATGGAAACCAGGCTTTAGACAGTTCTCGGTTGTCCTTTCAGCATTTTCCAATATATATTGTCCACAAAAAGAACACTCGCTCAATACCGAGAATAATTATGAAACATTTTTAGATGAATTTCTAGTTATTATGATAAGCATTAGCCTATTCGCCTATTTTGCTTACATACAAACTTAGTATCAAAAAGATCTTCCATAGTAGGTGATTGCCCTTGTGCTTTAGCATACTAATAACAAGATGTAAAATTTTCTGTCAAAGGTTGTTCTCGTGCAGTTGATTGTAATTGGATATGTAGCTTTCAAGAAGTCTCAACTACCAAGCCAAACTGAAGAAGAAATGCAAACGCTCAAACGGATCAGGTTAGCTGTAATAATATTAAAATCTATGTCAAATACAGTATGAAACAGATAAGAATAGGTTTGTAAGCATTGCATTCTAAACAGGAAGAACGTTAAGAAAAAAACTAGGAAATTATGAATTTCAAAGTTTATATAGGCGTAGATATGGGAGAAGAGAAGAGTCAGAGTAAACAATGTTCATCCACGAAATGTACTGTACTGAAATTGCCGAAACCGTGAGATATCGTGGTTTAACCGAGAGAGCCACACTACACAGGAAGAATAACCAAGTTGATTTTTCATAGAAGAAAATGGAACTTAGTTGAATTTCCTAATCCACAATTACACTAACACGCGTGCACGTGCTTAATCTCACTTTCTTAACTACTGCGTTTAGAAGAGTATAATGAAATGTGTTGTCGACATAATTATTTGAGCACGTGCCACAATTTGTTTAAATGTTAACGATGTGTTGTATTTTGTTTAAACAGAAATATGTTTCTTGGTATATTGTTCCTTGTACCAGCAGTTGGACTTTCATGGATTTTCGGTGGTATCATCGTTTTTTGCGACTGGCAAGCAATGGAATGTATTTATGTTATCGTGAATTCCATGCAAGGGTTCTTGATCCTGCTGTCACAGTTCGTCTTCAGCAATGAGGTTCGATGATATTCTATTAGTTCACTGTTGACAGCTTAACTCCTAACTGACGAAAACATTTTCCACAAAAAGAATTGTAGAATCGTTAACTTTAACTGTCGATTTATTTTACACAAAATATTTTTACAGTTTTAAAATATTGACCTACAATACAAGTTTAACTAACGAAAACCCCCTTGACTGGTACTGTAAGCTATTTGTAAAATCATTAACCGAGTACTATCTTTGTTGTAACAGAATAAGAACCAAATTTAAGACTGAGGCTTGCAGCACAAATTTTCGTTTAATGGATTGTTAATCTGGAAAAGGTTGCCGTTTAACATCCCTCTTAGTTGATTACATTCTTTCAATTTAAAAATATGTTGATCAATTTGACATCAGCTCCTAGACTAGTTACAGGTGTTAATAATAATACATAATAGCTGTCTCTTATACACATCTAGATGTGTATAAGAGACAGCAATTATACCAGTCCTCAAAAAAATACGGAAAAGTCGGAAGACCAAAGATTTGAAACTTCGACGCCTAATGCATGCTGCAGTTTGTGTAAAAAATAAATTTAAAAAGAAAACCACACATAAGGATTTTGGTCTCAGTTGGAACTTTTTGAGCAAACCACACCAGACATACGTAAAATTAAAAGTGATGCAATTAGTCGTATATTAAGGGAAAATGTTTTGGCATACTATGGTCGGACTGACGTCCATAGAAATCACGAATTAATGAATGAATGCACACAGGCAGACGCCAAAGGTTATGGAGTGCACCATTCTGGCAGCATTTGATGAATTCATGGAGAATCCTTGTGTAAAATACTCAGTTATAATATGGTTACAGCAAGTTTGATCACATTACAGTGGTAAACAATTAACACACAGCTTTTTCAGTGTTTGTGGGAATATTGCATTAGTCGACCTCAAACTGCAGGCTCTGCAGTCCATGTGTACCAGTATGTGTACACTCTGCCCTAAAAAGGATCATTCCTAAAGAAAACCTGGTACGGGACTACCTTTACTTTTACTAATCGAAATTTACATTATAACTGCGTTACTGTGACCATTATTAAATGATCTCTTAGTTAATAAAATGAATCACACACATTTAGGCATACAGTGGGTTCTGTATGTACTACTTGGGAGCTTTCGATTGCACGAAGTAGAACGTAATGACGTCACTAAAAGTCATCTGCGCATGCGAGAACGTTAAGGTCACCTAGCTCGTCGAGTAGATTCTGGAACGCAATTTGGCCAAATCTACGTATGCAGAGAACGTAGGACGCCATGTAGGACGGTCATGCATGAGTGATTCCGTTCTAGCGTCGTGTCGTCGCACAAATCGAAAGCTCCCTATAACTTGCACTACACATATTTAGATGTGTAATGTGTTCGCAGTGTCATTATTGTACTAATTAATAACTGGTGATACTGTATTTTAATAACATTTGAATTAGGATAAGTAAATTGCGGTAACCGTACTTTTTTTCAATATTGTAAGCATATTACAAATGAACATCAACAAGAAATGCATTGGTTTTTAGAATTGGAAAGTAGTAGGCTAGCCTGGGTTCCATGCCCTCAATTTAGGTTACTCACTTTTTATTGCGCTTAGTGCGCGTCATACCAAAATTATTTTGTTGTCCTCTTTAAATTAACTTACTCGTTGGTGGCGCTGTCGAGAATGGGAAAAAATATAAGGTACGAGTAGTAGTCCGAATTCTAGTACCATATCATACAGTGTTTGGCCTGCCAAAAACAATTAGGCCCAGGCCCCTACTATTATTATTATTAATTATTATTCATCGCCTATTACTCAATAACTTGAGAAAAAACTTGTCATAATGGAAAAACAGGCTTTCCACGGCCTCATACGGCAGCTCAGAATTTGGTAGAGTATCCGGACAGTAATCGGAAGGTCTTAATTGGGTTCGAATCCCGATGTGGAAATACCTTTCTCTCAAATATTTATTATTAATAATGCATCACACATTCAGGACTTTAAACCATAAAATTCAAATCCACAAACGGTTATGACAATCTTTAAAAAGACATTATAATAACAAAAACAACGGCCTTTTCCTATTGTAGGCCTACTACAAATGATCATTTAAAATACCTAAATAGGTACTGTAAAGTGTTCTTTGTTTACTGTATCTCTGTTAGTAGATTGAGACGTAAATATTCAATTTGTCGAAATAGTTAAGTTGTCATTATTCTGGCCGTTACCTCTTTGCTTCATTAGTACCATTTTAAGGATTGCAGATGTTAATTTGTAAGCCTATCACTGCTTGTTTAGTTTGGCCTAAGTATTAATATTATGTCAACACTTTGCTTATAGGCCCGCTTATAGGTTATAGTAACACTTTATGATTGCAGTTGTCATACTACCGTAAAACCTCGAATAGAATCCCCATGGGCTTATCTCGAGAAAAAGCGCATCTCAAAAATAAACCCCCGCGGGTTTCTAATAATATGGGCTTCTTTCGACATTATCTTTGATTATTGTGATAGCGTGTTAGTATACTTCTATTTCTTTGTGCTACACCATGGTTAAAATTTTTAAAATATTAAACATAATTTCGAATTCCATAGTTGAAAAATGTATAGTAGCAATTCTAAAATTACAGTATTAATTTGGGGAAAAAAATACCTCCCCTTTAGTTTGCAAAAGTAATCTCGAAAAGAAGCCCATTTCGAAAATAAGCCCATTAACGCCCATTGCATAGGCCTATCAATATTGTTAATTTATACCATTGAATTGTGCCAATACCTTTAGCTGTGATGTATACTCGTACGCTGATGAAGATAGCAGGTGCTACCAGAAATATCGTATAAATAAATATCAATGTTGTTATAAAATTTAAGTCTCTTGCAGTACTTTATTAGCCAGTTAACGTAAATAAAACAATGAAGAATACTGTGTAATAGGTGA